GGCCGGTATCGCAGTCCGATCGCGTCCGACATTTTGGAGAGACAGTAGGATTCGCATATGGCTCATGCATCGAGCCAGATGAAGATGGCTAAAGACCGATTGTTCAGACATGTTGCCGACCGCACATAGCCCCGGAGGTCATGCATCCCTCCAAAAGTGCACGCAACCTTATGATTGGCAAACGACATCATAAGGAATTACTAAGGCGGTGTGGCACTGCAAACCTTTGTATTACCTATTGGATGCCTGGGAATACGAGGTCGGTCGAGCGTTGCGACACTGGGTACGCTTCTTCAGTGTCGAGTTACTCGAGTCCATTGGCTCGCAACAACACCATGCCTAGAGAAGTGACTGTATCAATTCATTCAGTCTCAACAACAGTGCGCTGGGTCACTTCGTCATTCGCGAATTTCTTCCTTCGCCTTCTGTACTACCAGCGGTGATCGCTGCGCTGCAGTGTCATGTTGCTATCCGTCCGTCGTTTACCCTCCCGTGATTCCTTTCTTGGGTTAGACTCAAGATATTAGCGGATTGTTGCACTGGCAATTTAAATGCATACACCAGCTACCTCGTATGCGGGCTGCTATGCATCGACTGAAGCCATTATGGCCTATCGAAGCGGTGCATGCCTTTCTCAGAGGCAGCCGCTACTCCAAACTCTCGCAGTCAAGAGACGGAGCCCAACACGTTCAGCATCAAGCGCATAGAAGTCATGATTTTCAAACTAGCCGTCTTCATCGTAGACGTTGTCATCATTCAAAGAATCGGATACCATCGATACAAGCATGATGCCGTGCTGCATGCCCATAGTGGAGCTAACCGAGTATTTCACTGCGGCCGTACGGCTGTAGCAGTATCGTGTCATGATATTGTCGCGGTGGAACGTAGATCATCACATATAAGGTCATTGTCTCCAGTCAATCGAGGCTCAAGCCGTCCAGCTGTAGTTGTCTGTTCGACACATCCTCTCATTACTTCCCCTCAACACTCGTTTCTTTCTTCATCTCTTGGAACAGGTGTGTCTTGCGACTCACATAACAACCATGAAGCTCAGTACCTTCACTCCGTTCGCGGCTTTCCTATCGCTCACTGCAGCTGAGCGGATGCCATGTAAGTCTCCCCATCGTATCTGCTGTTGGATGTACACACTTCTTCCGTCAACGTACCAATCGTCACGCTCTCTGAAATCTAAGCACGTGAGTTAATATTCTGAATTAGTGAACTTCCCACAGCATGTACGGCCTCGGCAGTATGCACCACCACCACCATACTCTCCTCCTTACCCAAGTTTAAGCAGCACCGGCGGAAGTGCGTCGTCCACCTTCTCCAGCGGCACCGGCGTCTCGCTGTCTACTTGGACGCCTCCAGTTCCAACGTCTTCGTCAACTGCAAACTCTACATCGCCAGGTCCCTCTACAGTCGTCTACACTAGTGTCGTTGTTATCACGTCGGTTATTGTTCCCTCGACATCGTGAGTTGTGATCAGTCCTGAATATAATTGCTCGCTTAACTAATCCATTGCTCAGTGAAACTTTCTCTGGAGATACGTCGACCGAAGCTACAGCGAGCAGCTGGGGCAGCAGCTCTTCTTCCATGAGCATCCCTCTTTCGACTGGACCTCAGTCATCCGGAACAGGATACTACCCATCTTTGCCGCCACATGAGTCTTCCGCACCTTATGGCAACAGTACTGGTACAGCTTCATCTACTTGGGGTACGGGTACCGCGCCAGGATCTTCAATGCCATCTTTGACCTCCACTGCCAGTAGCAACTCCACTGGACCCAGAAGCTCATACATTCCACGCCCGTCGACAACTACAGAAAGCCCGAGTACCAATGTGACTGTCATTACGTCCGTCATCACCTCCACCATTGCCATTACCACATCCGTTCCATACCCTTCCAATGGTACTATCACGGAGACGAACACTGGGCCCACGGCAACATCCAGTGGAAACGGAACTATTTCTCAGACTCCGTCGTCGTCGGGCTACTACGGTCCACCTGGTAACGCCACCAGCAGCGGCAGTCCCTCTGAAACCGATACTGTGTCTTCATCGTCGATCGACATCTCCACAATCTCCTGGATCACCTATACTTCCGAAGTTTCTTATAGCCAGTCGGAGACTCCGACGCCAACCACTGATTATTACACGTCATCTTCAACCTCGACTTCAACGTGGTCTAGGAAATCCAGAGTCTCCCGGAGTCGTTCTTCCACACGTACCTGGTCTAGAACACTCACCATGTCCAGATCCTCGTCCACGGACGGCTCCTCATATACACCCACTAGTTCCGAAGAGTCGTCATCAGCTACTGAAACTGGAACCTCTTCAGATTCTTCTTCGTTGGCCTCATATACACCATCGTACACGGCATCTTCTACATATGACACCAGCAGTGTGCCTAGTGCTTCAGAGACTGATTCTGCAACATCCTCGTTGCCGTACTCGTTCAGCATTTCGTTCAGCTCGATCGAGACGACCTCAGACTCTTCCACACCCACGTCGTCTGGAGTCATAACTTTGCCTACGCCCGCGCCAACCACGGAGAGCTATTCGTACTGGTCATCCTCAATCAGCGAATCATCTACGGACTCTGAGCTTGTTTCGTACACTGAGTCGGTAACTTCAGGCACTAGCAGCTTCGTCTTGCCTTCCGAGACGCCATCGGAGTCGTTGACCAGTGATTCTGGCACTATTGAGACGCCCGTCCCGACAGTAACACCTTCTGACACATCCTCTTCCGACTCTCCTGTCACGTCTGTTAGCTCGACCAGCTCTGAGACCCCCGAAGTATCTAGCTCGTCCATGTACAGCGAAACGGAATACACCACCTTCCCCTCTTCCTCCACCGCCTCAGCATCTTCCAGCAGCGAGTCCAGCTCTGAGGTCGAGACTTCCTCTATACTCTCAGCCTCCGAGAGTTCTCTAAGCTCAACCTACACCGACGCCACCGCTACTTCCTTCCCGGTCGAGTCCTCGACCGCTTACCCCAGCAGCTCCACGTCGGGTTATTCCTACTGGACCCCTCCGGTCAGCTCGGTCACCAACACGGATGCTACCGCTTCCTCCTGGCCTGTAGATTCTAGTACCTACCTCACCAGCGCGACGGGCAGTCTCACACTCACGACCTTTGAGACGAGTGCCAGCTCCACCAAGAGTGGGTACGCGATGCCACCTGAGGTGACATACGAGGCTCAGAATGACAAAGTGAAGAGAGGCATGGTGAGTTTTCCACTGCTGCCTGATGTTCAAAAGGATGAGTACTAACTGTCTTGGTAGATGGGCATGTGGTTCATGTAATCTATACTGCACGACACTCACGCGGTTAGGCGATGTAAGCCCGTTGTGAGGCCGATTGGTGAAGCTACGACATGTCATTGCGTCTTTACCAAACAAACCACATTCACATTCTCTACTGTCCTTTACTGGTGTAGACATACCTTTTCCTTGTTGTTAATTCTCTTCACTTCTCTCCCTCCCCACCCTCCCGCTGTGTCAATGATGTCTGGGCTGGGTATTTAATCATCATGGCTGCAAGATCTTGGGCCATAGTTCAATACAACATGTGTTTCTTTAGACGTACTTCGCCTCCAATTGACGTGATGAATATCTGACATCGGCGATCATGATGTATTGTGATACAAATCGAATGAGCCTCCAGAATACTGCGCAATGACTTCGATATCTCCCGTGTCTCCAAGAGCTCAACGGGCGAGCTTTGCCTCCAATGCACCACATTGCTAACCTCGTGCCGAAGATGAGCACCCAGTGTTGTATAACGTCTTGCTAGGAGTTGTATCTTGGATATGCGCTGAGGTTGTCAAGGCGGTGGTACATGGGCCGTGGCATGTTGTGTGTAGACGAGAGTCGTTATCGAAAAGCAATCGAGCCGAAAGATGAGGAAGGCAGCGGAATAGTGAAGCGCGGTACAGGTATCGAGACCAACGTTGGCGAGGACAGTCCTTCACCCAGCAGCGTCAGCAACGTAACCTCAACTGAACAAACATACGTATCACCATCCATGAGAGCCACATTGTCCTCATTGAAACATTATTTCATTCATTCTGCCGTGACGATTAGGCGTCTTCTTACTCGGTGCAGCTATAGCAACGAAGCATGCCTCCTCGAAGTCATTATGTGTCGTCCCTGATGTCCGTCGACGTCTTTACATCTTGCTCTTAGCCTCGCCCTTGAGCTCTTGGGTCTTGCCCTTGGCCTCGCCCTTAAGCTCTTGAGCCTTGCCCTTAGCCTCGCCGGCCATCTCCTTTGCCTGGCCCTTGGCCTCGCCGGTGGTGTCGGGGGTGGCTTCCTTAACGGCGCCAGCGACTTCCTCTGTTCAAAAGGTATTAGCGTTTGTTTTCTCATGGTGCTAGCGTAGCTGGTGTGCGCACTGTACGATGTCGTCATATTCTCGGCTGTTGAGAACAGAGAGCATCAGGCAGTGTAATGCAGGTAGGGTGTGTAGGGGATGGGTAATGTACGTACCTCCCTTCTCAATGCCCTTTACAGCGGCACCGGAGATTGTCCTGTCGACAGCCTTGGCAGCGTCCTTGATAGCTTCTACGGGGCTCTTGCGCGCGACGGGTGTGGTGCTGAAGAGGCGGGCCTGGCGGGCGATCTGTTGGCGGAACATGTTGATGGTGTTGTGTGTTGTGTTGGTGTTTCGAGGTGAAGTTGTTGGTAGAGGGGAGAGAGGTGGCGATTGAGTTGTTCGATGGGTTGTTAGATGAGGTTCCTTTGAGTGTGTGCGGAAGACAGCTTTAAAGGATGTGTGGACGTGGACTGAGCTGCTGTGCTATGACGTAGTTATGATCAGCCAATCGCGGATGTGGGTCCGCGTGTTGCCATGCATGCGCGAGGAACGTCGCGTTTACGGAATTCGCATGCCGGGGCATCACAAATTTTTACATGTGCATTATGCTATTGTGCGCGATCTTGATTCATTACGATTACTGTTGTCGTACTAATTGGTATTGTACTGCATGAGCTCAGGCTTAGTACAGCGCCTTCTGCCACCATGCACACCTAGCGTTCGCGTTGCTGTCGCGTACATCCTCGATGCCGGTAACGTTAAGCTCCAATACGGTCGCATCCGGACCGTACATGTTGAACTGCTTCACGCCTGTAGCATCCGGCACACCATTCTCAGCGAAGCTGGTGATGAACTCCTGCAGAGCGATGGCAATGGTGGTGTTGGCAACACCTTGGAGCCCGGTGGAACCTGCACCGCCCTCAAAGTACGTGTACGGGATATCCTGACCATGAATAGCCGGGGGAACTGCGAAGAGATAGGAGTATGTCTTGTTTCCGTAAGCCCTGGAGAGGTAGTTGGTGTTGCACGTGAAGACTCCCTCGCTGACAATGAGGCTACCGCGCTCGAAGTTGTTGGTGTATGGTAGAGACCCGTCGAACACCGGGGGGTAGAGAGTCTTGGTAACATAATCGAGGGAAGACTTTGGGGCGTTGGCGAATGCGGACGAGATTTGGTCTTCCAATGCAGCCTCGTTTGGAATGAAGAAGGGCGTGAAGAGGGCTCCTTCATTCGCATTGTGGCCGACCATTACGCGCACGTCCTTGTCAAATCGACCTTGTGCCAAAAGCTGAGCTGGCTGAAGAGGAGCGAAAAGACCATCCACGACCGGCCCGTAAGTGAATGTACCGTATGGGGAATCATAGGTGATCTGCTGAGCATTCGCAAGCATTACCTCTTCAGATGAAAGAGCCCGCAACTCTGCGAGGGAAGTGGTATTGGTAAGAGTGAGGAACCTCTGGTAGACATCTTCCTGAGTGACAACAGAAGTTGTAGGTTGCCATCCAGGGCTCTGGGGTACGGCTTGCTGAAAAGGAGCAGATCCATTAGCACCACCGTATGCAGTAATCTGATGCATGATCGAGCCACCTCCAGCGCTCTCACCAAATACAGTGACCTGTAGACACAAATCAGCACAAATCATACATGCATGGACCAGTTCTGACTTACTCGGTTCTTATCACCTCCAAAGAGATGAATATTCTCCTGGACCCACTCAAGCGCAAATCGCTGATCGTACAAGCCTAGGTTGGATACACCTCCTTCTGCTTGGTATGAAGGGCCACCCGTCCAGCCCAAAGCACCAAGGCGATAATTCATCGCAACGTAGATAACATCGCCATTGGACGAGTTGCCGGAGGCCGCGAGCAGACCCGCAGGGTTGTTGTTTTTCTCGCCTCCTGTGTAGCCACCTCCGTAGATCCATACGAGAACAGGAGCCCCGTAGCCTTGCCCAGCTTTGCTAAGCACATCCTCGGGAACAAAAACATCCAAAAATAAGCAATCTTCAGACTCGCGGGGATCCGGTTGTGGGACCGGACTGGTAGCATTTGCTGGCATCACTGAATAAGTTGTGTTCGAAGCAGGAAGACCGAGCGCATATCTGGCCAACGACTGTGCTGCGGCTGCAGACCAAGCGGGATTTGCCTGAGGGCATATTCTGTAGATGTTAGTATGATTGTTTGAACTTCGGTTTCCTGTGGCGCTTACCTCGAAGTCTCGCCGGTGTTGATAGATGACCTGTTTTCTGCTGGAGCCTGAGGTGGAGCAAACCTCAAGTCACCGACAGGCGGTGCAGCATACCGTATGTTGGAAAAGTTGTAGAAGTTGCCGGTGTCCTAATTGGGTCAATCAACAAAGTGACATCGAGGATTTGATGATGGTATACGAACATTGAACCCTGAAGCCTGGTAAATCTCGTAGCCCAGGTCGACTGTAGGTAATGAGGAGTTCTGTGCATATGCAGCACCTATTAAGGCTGCTGCTGCAGCAAGTTGCAACATGTCGGCGGACGGGATGAAAGTATGAATAGAGAAGTAACGACGAGGGCTACCCAGGTGTATATTCCAATTGCTCGGGACTCACGACGGTAGAGGAGATACAGCCGCGTACAAACGTGCAAGGAAGGCCCATCCATCAGGCACGGGTCGAGCATCCATATATACTCCTGTCATTTGCCCTAGTCCAGCCCGGCCAGCATCTCGTAATGCTGTCGCGATCACGCATAAGCCGCAGACACGTCCCGCCTCAGCCTAACGCAAACGACTCCACGTACACTGCGTAGTAATCGTCAACGGAGTCAAGCTCGCCTGCCGTGCCGGTGGCTTCGCCAGGCAATACACAAGTGCGTCATCGCGGTGGAACATTCGGCGACTAGCGGTGTCACTGATTCGCTCGCTGAGGCCTGGCGCGAGATACGGTCGATACGTGGCTAGCTGTGGCACAGCTGCTAGAACTCATCCACGTGCCTGGGGCTCTGGGAACCTCGCGGATTTTGTATGTACACAGTTGTAGACAATTTTGACTTCTGACAGGTAGAATTAAACTTTTTGAAACGTCGTTCGGTGTCCCGGTGAGATGGGAGCGGGAATGTCATCTCGGCTGTAACTGGCAAGACGGTCCGACGAGGATATTCCCCGCAAAAAGGAAGCAATGCTGGCAGGGTATCTTGCCGAGGCATCTCGACTGGCTATGCGATGCCTTCCGATGGCCTGGTAAAGCTGGTGTGAAAGAATGCGCGCAGTCCGCGGGGTACGTGCCATAATGGCGTACGGACGAAATTCTAGCCGTCGTAGGTTCTCTAGCCGCAATAGAGATCCATCAAGTATCCACCTTATCGCTTCGTCGCTAGGGGTACCATTGTTTTATTCACGATCCAACGTGATCGCATGCAGAGGTAGTCGCGATTCGTACGTGTACCCTAAATGTAGGGGTTCAGCCTTCCTCGAGTCCACCTAGCGCCACGGGATACCCATGCAGCCATGGGTGCATCAAATAGGTGAGCTGTTGTTCGATATAGTATGCCAATAAGCGTCGCACCGAGACAACAACAATTTTCGTCACGGCCATTCGTAGATACTAGTGCATAAAATTAGGAAGGTGAACTGAGATGACGCCCAGCGCTCGAGAGGTGAGCAGGTGGTGGTCAGTGCACCGGCGGCTCCAGGGCTCTGGTGCTGGCTTGCGCTCAGCTAGCACCCAGGCTATCTTCAGTTCCTTATTACTCACACGACAGCCTACCTAGGTATATAGCCATTGGCCTTGAGCTGCTGATGATGTCTTAAAAGTGGACAGTGTCGGTGATGAGGTCCTGGTCAACTGACGCCCGTTTCATGCAACCACCACGCGGTGGAAGAGCCCAGAATTGTATCTTAGATACTGCTACACTGTCAGATTCTGGGTAGCCAAGCCTTTCGAATGTACCTGAAGATTTAAAATGGAAAAGCTAACTGAATGACTGAGATTATGTTGTCGTTCATGATGTTGCCGTGAAGATGCTTTCCAGTTCCTGCTCAAAGTATGTCACCGATTAGTCGTTCTTTCACTCTCGGACTGCTTTTACGAGCCCATAGAGTGTGTATCGCCATGTTATACATGGCAAATAATGAACCTTATTGCAAGCTCGACACCCAAGAAGGTCTCCGACCCGCATTGGCCGCCTATAAAACATCCGATCCAACCACCACGGCGAGCATTGACGCGACATTTCTAACGTCACCTTCTACCAGCCACCTTCAGTCGCTCCCCGAGCTACTTCACCATCCACCGTGGCTACTCGAACAGATAGTCGGTGACGTAATCGTATGCGGAGAACCACTCACAGGCTGGGGGCGTAATTGGTTCACAGTGCGAGTAAACATCCAAAAGAACTCGATGCAACAACATGGAAGAAGCGTTGTCAACAGAGTGGGAGCGGGATCATGTGTGGGTGGCGTTGTGGTATCCACTCAATCTCGAGACAGTACCATATAAGCCGCGCAAAGGAATGCCACTCCTCTCTTATCCTCACTCTAGTATACAAGTATCTTGGTGAAAGTGAAAGAAAGGTTCTCGCCATATTTGGGTTTTCCACGTAACTCGCGATGCGCGTGATGGATCAAACACCCGGATGCACCTGCCTTTTCCTGAACCTTCCGCGCTCCGACGTACACGCAAACCTCTGCTGCAATTGGCCCTTATCAGCTCTCCCTACTCCGTTGGCTAACGACGTTCTTGATTACTCACAGTCAGCTACACGTTCCAAAAAAATGAGCTCCGAACCTCACCCTCATCAAGACGTGAAGGTGAGTAAGTTTCTACGGCTTCAGGAACCATCAAATAACAGAAACGAGCGTCGTATGAGTAGGCGCGACATCCCTGAAATGCCCAGGGGCTATAATGCCCAATACACCTTCGACTTCAACGATATCAAAAAGCGCATTCTCTCCAACGCACGTGCATATTACGCGCATCGCTTCCCTGAAGCGCAACGCTACGACTTCATCACCTCATCCATCCCGCCGACCGACAGCCGAGATAGCAAAGAATACAGGGGCGGGCTGATTGTATACCCTGATCCGAAGTCAAACGACTGGGTGATGCTGTATAAGAGCCACTCCTGGCCAGCCGTAGAAGATACGGCGTTTGAGATCAAGTCCTGGCTTGAAGAGAAAATGAGGGCTGTGTTTGACAAGACGAACGAAGGCGAGAAGTGGGCCGGAACAAAGAACAAGTCTAAGGACGAACTGTCAGGCAGTGAGAGAAAGTCTACTGCGGGCGAGGACCAGATGGAGGATGTGGAAACTGCGGAGGACAGCTCCAAGTCGACAGATACTACTGCTGGCGATAGAGGTGACGGTACTGGCACCGGCGACAAAGGCGAAGATAAGGAGGTTCCGAAACAACCAGAAGACTCCACTGCTGGCGACCAAGCCGAGGCTGCAAGCGACACCACCATACCAATTCGGAAACGTAAGTCAGCCGCGGATGAAGAGAAGGACCGAAAGAAAAGCATGAAGAATGACGAGGAGCAGCGTGTCTTTGTTGGCGAAAAAGATGACCCGCCTACTAAAGAAGAGAAGAAGGGTCCTGTCGATCCTGTCGTGGTTCCGACCGAGTTGAAGCTTCCGCCGACCACTGAGAAGTAGTCTCAGCTCCTTCGCCACCCTTGGGTGACGTACAGAGTGGATGAATCAGTGGTTGTTTGACGGGCGATATAGCGCTGGCGTATTGGGCAGTGTGCGGAAGTACTTGTGTCTAGATAGAATCATGGCCATCCTCCAGTCTCACATATCCGTCCTGCTTACCCATCTACAACTTCGCCTTCAAGTCCTTACCACCTTTACCACTCCCGCCCTGCTCACTAAATCGATAAACAATATCCTCAAACCCATCCGCGGCGAATACATACAGCCAGACCAAGTTCTCTTTTCCCGCGTTGTAGATACCATGCTCCGCATCCCCCGGTATGAATACCACCGACCCCTTCTCAACCTCATACTCTTGCTCCTCAATACAAACCATCCCAGTACCAGAAACAACGTGGTAAATCTCTGCGTGCGTATGGCGATGCAACTTCAGAAACCCCACATCGCCCAAAGACTCCGGACTCTGCAGAGATGGACTTGGGATCCCAGAATCGCTCGTGGAAGAAGACGCGGGGCAAGCCACAACCCTTCCAGGCGGACATGTCGCAACACCCACCGTGAACGTATCCGTCTCAGTCTTCTCATTCGAAACCAGCGTTTTCCACGTCACATTGCCTCCTGTGCTGGGATCGGGGAAGCCTTCGGGTGCCATTTTGGCTATTTGTGCGGCATGCAGGACTAGAGGTTTGACAGGTCGCTTCGAGGCTGTGGAACGCATGGTGGTTTATGTTGTGTGACTGTTGATGAAGTGCGACTTTTGCTTTGGCAGGGGAGGTGCTATCCGGGGAGAGCGGTAGACTGCACGCGCGGCGCGGATGCATGCAAGGTACGTTTGGACGATGGGAGTCGGAGATGGGCGTACGACATTGCGGATGTGCGGGTTGAAGGGGGTATACATATGCATATGCATGTACTGTCGCTTCGTAACCTCTCGCGACTTGCATCATCAGAGAAAGGCATTTCTTGCTGCTACGTCTTCTTGACATAGGTCATGTGGGGTTAGAGGGGTAGCTTGGGAGCCACACTCGGGATTGAAGTTCTAAGTCTTGCCTAGTTCGCGTCGTCAAGGGCGTATGAGAAGTTCGATCGTTTCGTGCCCGCTTCGGGCTGTCGTGATAGTTTGGCGACGGCCCGGCGGCTGCTGTTGTGCTACCGCATTCTCTGCTGTCAGGCCACATGGCATCTGTCGTAGCGACCGCCGTTGAGCCTGACTCCCCTTAGACGCATGCAGAGCATTTCGGGATATGCTGGGGTTTGATAGACTTTATTGAAAGAACATCGGGTTGCGGTTTGTCGACCTGAATACCTACCTAGAAAAGCATTGATCAACGCAACCAAGGGACGCGGAAAGTCACCGCAGGAGCAGAACTAGAGTCGGGATCCGGTCTCTTGCGTCGGTACTACCCGAGCTGGCATATCTGTATATCGATTGTATACTGCTGTTGAAGGTAGGTCACATCGTTGATGATGTGGTAGGCATGGGAGTGACATCCTAACGTACCCAGGTACTATCGTATTCTGCCTACCACATCTCCAGGTCAGATCGCTGACACCAAGGTATACCCACTGTATAGACTCATAACTTTTATGAGGATGGTCATGGTTATCGTGAGATAAGAGGCCGCCGTGGTCTCGCTGCTTACGGCCGTTATTACGATTTGCCTACATCGGCTGCCATGTAGGGTTCAGGCGGAGACGCAGCTAGTCGTTGATGCCCGAGGCAGCCAAAGTCATCCGACCATGCGACATGGTTCGCATAGCTGTCACTGTGTCAACTCGTCGATGTCGCAGGGTTCGCCTGGCGTTCTGATGGGCGCTGTGCACGGTTGCTGTCCACGTTGATGCGGTCTGTCGCGAATGCACACTGACGGCATGGCGCAGACTATATCGTAGACTACTTATCCATAGCGGCGACACAAGCGCTACGACATTGGATTTCGCGCAGTGGTTGCACGATCGAATCTTGAGTATACACCCACAAACCATGATCGTGGTTGCGAGTCAAGCAACTGTCATCATGGCTAGCCTGCGAGTCGCCCTTCTAGAATCAGCCCTTTCTGACTGGCTTCTTTATCAGCGGTCCGGCAAATCCGCCGCGTTTCAGAGTTTATCCCTCGTGGCCATGTGGCTTGGACCGGGCCTCGTACCATGCCTGTCGTGTTTACCGATGCCCGAACGCTGGGAAAGCTAAGGCCAATCTGTTCTGCATCTCATCATGCGCATGGCCGTCCAGTTTCGCTCCTGACAACTCCACCTCCCTACCCAACGTCTCTCGCCTACACTTTTTGTGCTACCAAAGGATGCAGCAGTCTTTATTGCGATAATGAGGTTTCAGACGTTGACGTAACGCAACGAAAACGCGCGCTGAGCGCTGCCGCTTCCACGAGGCTGTGTTTAGCCTGGATTGGCCGATCGCGATATGGCCATGGAGAAGTTTCAGAGAGGCCACCCAGCGCCCGAGCGGGTGAGGAACCGATCGGGATCTGGGACTGTGACGGGGGACAAGGCGATCGCGAAGAAGAGATCGAGTTTGGGCAGGGCGGCAGGTGGCTTTCAGAGTAGATTTCTTGCGTCGCTACGGAGTAAGAGGAAGAGTGGTGCAGACGAGGAGCTAGAGCCCAGCCCCTCGAGGTACGTACCGTGTCCACTTCACACACTGGGGAACACCACTGATCATCGCAACACAGCCCGTTTCTAGATGCATTGTTTCGGTTGCCAGATGAACTCCACATTTACATGCTGCGCGAGCTGTGCGTCTCGGATCTGCTTGCTTTGAGGAGAACGTCCCGCGTGCTCAACATGCTTGTGACAGAGAACGCACCTGCGATTGTGCGCTACTGGGTGAAGAACCGGCTCGGCAATCTTCATCTACAACTTTATCCGGCTCCAAGACCGGACGCGATCGACTTCCCGTTCTTACTCACTATGAGACGGCGACACATAGCGTCCATCAGGTTGACACGTCAGCTTGCCAATCACCTTGTAGGGGAGCCAACCGAACAGAGGCAGCTGTGGACATCAGTGTATGAGAGGATGCTGCCCCTGGTCTTTGGGGTAGGCTACTTTCTAGATGAACATCGACGACTACTTCTGGAAAGAGATCTCGGCCACATTCGACCACGCTCCCGTATTGGCTATCACGTCCGTACGACGGGTGGTATCAGTAGCCAAGAAAGGAAGATCTTGAAGAACCTGGACGCACCACTTCGACTTCAGTACTTCTACATGTACTGTTTCATTGTGCAGGTGCTGCTTCGAAAGCTGAGACCTTGCAGTCGTGCTGGAGCAGTGGAAAAGTTCCTGCGGGGATTTTCAAACCAGCCAGCCTGTTCAGAGGATGTGGCCTTCTTCCTCATACTTGGTGGCATTGGGCAAGTTGCGAAGCTCCTCGCTTGCCCGGTATATAGCGAGCGGCGAAGATATCTCCTAACGTATAGAGCTCACATGTCGCCGCATACGAGTAAATGCTGGAGAAAGCACTGGAAGGATGCTGGTGTGGTTTCACCTGCGTTACTAGACGATATTCCTTGTACACAGATTGGCATAACACAGCTTGATCAGGTCTGGGCTCCACTGATAGCCCAGATGATGGAGACGGGGGCGAGAGACTTTACAGAACAGGAAAGGATACGCTACGAGGAGCTGAAGATATCGAAGAAGTTCATCAACGAAGTAATGGGGTATGACATCCTGCGAGGTCGGGCAGCTGACGGAGGAGAGTTGGATGATGAGCACGAGCCATGATAGCGAGTTAGCATGTACAGTACCAAGAGAAGACATTGTAGCGGCCAAACTCTGCACCTTCCTCTGTAAGAATTGACATATGTCGGTTGCCGTGCAATTTCCGCTTTGCAGCGGTTGTTGAGGCTTGTACCTGCTGGCTTGGCTTAGTTTCTGCTTCACGATGCCACCAACGGCGACGAGCCCGCAAATATTACGTACTGGTCCGGTCGCGTAGCGCGCTATGATTTCTAGCTGATCATGAAGGCCGACGGCAACTATGGACCCTGCAGCTGTCACCTAGCCGAGCGAGCAGGTGTTGCATGCGGCCAGCTTCTGTATGTTCTAACTAAAAGCTTGACATGGCGGTATATTGTGCTTGACCTTAACAGGAGGGTGTTAAGCATACCCACTCTGCTCTGGACTCTGTACAGCTCAGCACTCGGTCGAAGTGCATTCTGCCATATAGGATGCCTATTTGGGTCGGCAGAGGGCCGTCATCGGCAGACGTGTATATTGCAGTCCCCGGATTTTTTCCATTGCAATTTTCCAGCGTCCGGGTAAGTGGCGGTTAAGAGGGCCAGAATCAGACGACAGAGGCTCGAGACCCTGTAGTGGTTGGCGCAAAGGCCGAGCAGGCAGGTCGTCGTTGGAGAGGCCCACTTGGCAGCTTCCATGGCTTCCATAGGCGCCCGTGCGCGTCTTCTGGAAAGCGACGAGCGCTCGTCTGGTCTGGCGTCGGCCGATTGAGAGGCGAGGCCAGGGCCAATGGGGTACTCGACGGACTTTGCCGCCCGCGTCAATAGAGAGGCGGACAATTATTCTGCAAGTATCGCTCCACCTCATCCCACCATTGACGGGGCCAGGAGGGCGCAGAGTCTGAGGCGGGCATGACTGAGGTACCGTACGTGTTTCAGGCGATGTGTGATTGGCGGGCGTCGATGGGAGCGCTGCGTCCGTGGCAGATTGGGAATGACGTGCAACGGGCAGCGACAAAAGCAACGCGACGCGCACAAGGTGAACGTTGGGGGCGCTGATCGGTAGTGGAAGAGGCAGTCGCATCCCCTCTGGATCGGGAAGTGGCGCATGGTTCAGCGTGCAGGCGCGACCGGAGGGCGATGCACGGGGCGCGGGCTGCGTCATTGGTGGCCGATGCAACTCGAGCGACGCTCTGCATGCATGGGCCGTCCGCTCGTGTGCCTGTAACACGGCGGCATCCTTCCATCACACACGGCGCACTCGCCCAGGCACGCCCGCTGGAAGCAGTGCTGGGTGCGCGCTGCCGTCGGCTGCCCCCAGGCCGTGTCACACAGGCGTGCAGGCCGTCTAACTGTCAAGTGTGTGCTGTGTCGAGCCTGTGGCTGGGCGGCCAATGGCGCGCTGCTGATACTGACCGCAACAACAGGCCGCATTCACCCCGGCCGCAGTAGCGTCGGCTCTTGCAAAGATGCTCCGCTGCCCCCGTAATTGCTCCCAGGAATCCTCGCCATGATGTGAGCTAGATCCGCCAGGTCCTCGGCGCCGTGCGTGTCTCCAGGGCCTAAGTATGCCCCTTCGATGCCGTGCAGAGTGCCAGTCGAGTCCTAGCGCTGTGCTGTAAGCCCGTTCCATATAATCCTACGAGCCCGGCCCAACGTTTGCGACCAACACCACGATCCCCATCCGAGTGCCACTCCACCCGCGCCATCTTCACACGCGACCTCGCCACCCTTTGTCTTCTGAAACCTGTGCACCGGTGCCTGGCGATAGCTGCCTCCTGCCACTCACAGCCCATCCACCACCACACCAGAGCAGCCCGGTCCCGACGAGCGCGGCAACTACTCCCCTCTGGGCTATCGATTGTCAGCTGAGCCACGACCCCGACCCACCACCACCCAGAGCGACCACCATGAGACGGTAGAGATAAGACAGAGAGCAGGAACCATGGACTTTACGGTAAGTTCCCGCGCGCTTACACTCGTCGGCCATGTCACGAGCCCGGCTAACGCGACCTCAGATCTCCCTCGCACACTTCTGCGAGACCCACGGTCCGACATCCATCATCTGCACCCAGGCCTCGACCTCGCCCTGCGGCTCCTGCAACCCATGTGTGACGCCGCCTTCCGAAGAGCCGCATTCGGCCTACTCCTACAACGGCCTGTACGATCAGCCCACCACCCTCAAGCTTAACGCGCGCCTGCCACAGCTCACCTCGCCCTTCGAGTCGCCGCCCAACAGCCCGCGCTCCCCCACGCACAACCCATACTTTCCGAGCTTTCCCTCCTCTTCCGGCAGTAGTTTTGGCGGACGGAGAACCAGCAGCACCATCGACTCCGACTCGGACGCCTGCGAGAACTGCCAGATGGTAGTGCCCCAGAAGTACAGCGACAAGATCCCCAACGGCGCTCCTGGTAGTCCCACGAAAGACGGGCGAGGAAGAAACGGCAGCCCGGTACTGCGTAGCTCCCAGAACTACCCCGTGCGACGACCAGTGTCCCGGGACGACCTCAGTAGCACGGATTCGTCCGATGTCTCAGACACAGAGCAGTCGACTTCCTACCAGAGCGGCGCCTCGGGCTCGTTCCCAGACTCAATACCTCCCTCACCAATGCTCGTGTCGAGAGGCATACACACCCACACATTGAACTACATCTCCACCAGTCAGCCGCAGTCGCCCAGCACCTACTCGCTCTTGCGACGCACCTGCATCCGTACATTGTCCACCGAGGTCCTTCCCCTTAGCAAGCCGTCTGGGCCCATCATGTTCGGAGACTCAGTCGCTGGCTACACCATCGCGTACGTGTTTCGTCTGCAGGATCCGCGGTCGCGAGGAGCTAAGCGCACCTACGCCTTCATCGCCATGGCCGGTCGCGATTACCGGAGAGCCACAAAGGCCATGGTGAAGATCATCGAAGCCTTTGAGGGCATCGCCAACCGGATCATCTCCCTGGCTGATAGAGTCCTTGAACGTGAGAGTGCAGCTTCCCAGGTCCTGTCACGTCCCACCACCGCCATATCTGGAAACACACCTCCTCTTGGAACCTCCGCCTCTTCCATGCCACCCAACTTCTCTGCACCGCACAAAGAACGGACCTTCTCCACGACGAGCACCCCCAACTTCCGCAACATCACACCTGTGTCCTCTTTCCTGTCCGCCAAGAAGGTTGACCCAGATGGCTTTCCCCGTGTGTCTCGCGACGTGATGAAGGCAAAGAGCCTCGTCGAGATCGTCGGTCAGGAGAACTTCTTTGTCGACCTCCATGGACTCTTCTGCCATCTTCTGCACTCTCTCATCAAGCAGTTCGGTTGATGCATCCCTTCCACGTCGCTTTGCTTCGTTCATACGTCTTTTCCTTCCTTGTATGTCTTTCTATTGTTTTATGTCGTGCGTTACAGCGTCTTCGTCCATTATACAGTGCGGTTAAGCACAGGCGTTGGGGCAGGTGTGATTGCTTTAAAAGACCTTCGAGTCGTCAGAGCTCAAGTAGCTTTATACCCTTTTGAGATACCCCAGGCTTCTCTTTCTGTCGTTGGGATCGAGTAGTACACATTAGACGTGGACTCATCTTTACAATGGCGTTTCGGGGTGAGTAATCGGGGACGAGAGGAGGTGTTCACGATGGTACGGTCGTTGCTAGGATATGACCATGATGTTGATGGCGTGATTGCCGCGATGGATTAGGTGATGGTAGTCTAGCCTGTTTGTAGAACGAAACTGCACAATACCGTTTACCTATTGTTCTTTGACGTGTTTTGTTGTTTGCTAGTGTGGTACTGCTTCAAGTCCAAGAGGGAGTATGTGAATATGCGTGACACCATCACGGTGCTATCAAGTAAAGGTCAAAGGTAAAGGTGAGTTGCAAGCACGCGAACTGAACGCCTGACGTTTGGGAGAGAGTCACTACCTAGGTATCAGCTCATCACAAGAGATGCCCTCAAGGCAGACGCGTCCCAAAGCAGACGAGGCAGACGAGCAAACGTGGTGTGCGCTTTTCTGGTTAGCGCAGGCACGCATGAGGCTGAACACGTGGAAGCCGCGAGCGACAACATTGAATGCTCTTTACCATATCCACCCAGTCGCAGTAACTATATCCATGGGGTATGCTCTAATGACAGATGCAAAATTTCATCACTCTCACACGAGCATCGCGGCTTACTTGCCACGAAAAGAATTCCACGATAAATCGCTTATGCCTGCTCGCTCCACCACCGTCTCCGCATTATGCACGACACGCAAAACTGGTCCACATTTCGCGTTCCGCTTTCCGGTCCCAAGCTTGGAAAAAGATTATCCAGAAGCATCGAGATTCGCAGATCAAACTACCTAGTGATGCGTCATACCGGGTAAAATCCCCTTGGAAGTCAACGATGTGTGATGTCATAGGTGTGGTGGATCGTCAAACAGCGCTTGAACAACGCGCTTCCACGGCCAGTGATTAAGTGGTAGCAGAAGCAACGTCTCCGCATCGTTTGATAGGACGCATTATTATTCTTGATCAATTAAGGCTTTTATTTCCGCAGCCCACGCGGCAGCAGGGCCAAAGCCAAGTTTAAGTGCCCGAAAGCCAAGTTTTTGGAAGTTTGGCAACCCGTTTGGGATGCAGCATCGTTTGATAATGCTCGTTCAAGATGCTCAGTTGCTGATAGGGCAGATATGCAGATATGATGTGGCTTGTGGTTCTCCATGACGACTCCCATAATCATGCCCCGCGGCTTCCTCTGCGGATTCCGAGAACCTACTTAAGACTTGCCTACCTTCCAAGGTCGTGGCGTCGTCACCTTTACAAGCCTCAATACGCTACAATAATCACTACAGTTCTTAAACCACTAAGTCTACGCCACGATCCGTACAAGCCGCACCTGTAAGACTACCAATCTAGATCGCACCAGTCTCCCGCTTATACTCGTCATCCAGACATCTAGCCTTCCCGCACTTCACAAGGTTAAGACAAGATGAACTCCATCCCAGGAAATGCTTCCCAAGGACCCACCAGCCAGGACACATCGACGACGGGTGTTCAGCAGAACCAAGCGCAGCGCGAAGA